ATGAATGACATTGATTCTCAACCAGTCTACTGTCAAATTTTGGTAAATGTATACAATGTATTCATGCCTTCACAGAGTTATATATACTATTATATGTTATATGGAGTCCGGTCCCTAGTAGCCGTGCAGGTCAGTGGAGATCAAGGGCCATCTTTCTAGGCATATAAGATGTTTCCTGGTATTTGAGACTTTTGTATAATGAGAACGCAGGGCAGTAATCATATTACTCAAACACAATCACTTTTCTAAGTGTGGTAACTGTGCATGCTTTTACACTGTAAACCACTGTGATAATTTAGTAGAGATTGTATTGTAATTATTGCTGGCTTGTTGGTGTGCAGCCAGAAATTCATAATACGCAATGATTTCAGGGAGGTAGAGCACCACAGATACAATGGATGGAATTAAAGATAAGGAGTAAGGGGGAAGACCTTTACAAGAAAATTTCCAAGAAATTTGCAAATGTGCTTAAAGCAGCAGCCGTGCCACCCATGACATTTGTAAATACTGGCATATGGAATCATTCTTCCTAGATTTGAATTTGCTCTTTTAATAGGAATGAAAGCCATTTCCTGAAGGGGCGGGGTGGGGGAGATCCTTTATAGCTGCAGCTTCTGAGCCTAATAGCACTTCATTCTGTGAAAAACCAGACTGCTGTGCCTGAGTCAGGAGCTAACCCTGCTGTGTGAGACGCATTCTGGATGTCAACATACCCTTCAGTTTAGGCGTTTGGGACCAGTATTGTGGGGAGGGAGCAGGGCCCAGACACCTTGCACCCGCCTTTCCTAGAAGGTCAGTATAAACATAAGGTAACCCAGTGGCACCAAAACCCGTAAAAGGGCTCCTTCAGGTGAGGAGAATTAAAACAACTGGTAAAAACTTTGGAACCATGGCATTTAGGAGGAAAGAGAATTGGCTTCAGGACCAGATAAGACTAGGTCGAAATCCTAACTCTGCTGCTCATTTCCTATGGGGTAAAAATGAACTTAGAGGATGACAACCTCTCTGAATGCCATTTCCTCGTTGGGAAAATAAAACCAACTATAACCACCTAATGAGGATTTCATATGACAACACAGGTAAAGCCGTAATACGGCAGATCCTGGATGCAGCAGGTGTTTGCTGCATCAGTGAATGAAGCAGAGAACTGGAACCCCATCAAGAACTAGAACTGTCCCTCTGTGGGAATAAAGAATAGACTTACGAACATTGGCAATTTTCTCTCTCAGGAGGTAGAATAGTGAAGAACTTTAGTTCTGAGGTCTGAATGCTTGGGCTTGACTTCTGCTGCCACATTTTACTACCTGTGTGACGTTGGGCACATTGCTTGATTTCTTAGTCTCAAAACCCTCATTTTTAAAGGGCTGTACTAATAGTGTCTGTTCCATAGGATCTGTGATGGAGATTAAATCGAGGTACTGAATGTAACATAATAAACACTCAATTATATTAGCCATACACGTGTGCCTCTTCACAGTAGGGCCAGAAAAGAATGGTTCAGTACTACTTCGTAGCCAAAGAGCATGATCCGGGGTAGTGTTTAGAATATCTGACCCTAAAAACTTCTTTGGATTGTACTTGAGTATGTCCCAGGAATGCCTTTTATGAGTTCTAGTTTATCATTGTTTTTATGTTCACATTGTCCTATTGTCCATTCTTTGAAAATCGATTTAGTAAACTAACTTGTGCAAATGAAAGATCTGAAACGGGTTAAGTTGATTGTGTGGTGAATCGTCATCTTTGTCATATGGATAGAAGGGTAGAAATCACTGGGGTGATCACATGTTCACAGTAGGCTCCACGGTGACTCATTTAACACCCCACACAAAGCAAAATGTCATCAGAAAGGGATAAGGTCAACCCAATGTAAAATGTGTCTTCAAGCTCATGGCTTGTTTTATTACAACTTAAGCAGTATTAACAGGGATAAAAGTTGGGAAAGGGAAGCTAAATTCGAAGCATCAAAAAACAGAATGGGTCTGGACAGTGGCAGTTTTGATTTTTTTTTTTTTTCACTTTTAGGCAGTGTCAAGTGCTAATAGAAGCTAAAATGAGTGACACTTAGGGAAAGGAAAAACGTCCCCCTTGAATGTCTTTAAAATCTATAATAATAATATAATAATATAAAGTGCATCTGGGCATTGCCTTCTGCTGCAGTTCTCGTCTGGCTCCGATCCAGAACTGTCAAGCTACTCTGAGTGCTGATGATTCATATCCCAGCACCCTTTTATCTGAATGTTGCAGTGTCTTTTCTTTGTACTTTGGCAGTGATGTTACCTTGATGTTCAGAAATCTTTTAAAAGCAACACAGGCTTTCCTTGCATCTTGACAAATCATCGTCTGCTGGTAATGAAGAAAAAGTAAACCTAGTTCCGTGATCATTGTAAATATAAAGAAATAAATACTTCCAAGGGTTTTTCTTTAAATGTTCATGCATTTTGGGGCACCTGGATGGCTCAGTCGGTTAAGCGTCTGCCTTCGGCTCAGGTCATGATCCCAGGGTCCTAGGATCAAGCCCCACGTTGGGCTCCCTGTTCCACGGGGAGCCTGCTTCTCCCTCTCCCACTCTCCCTGCTTGTGCTCTCTCTCTGTCTCTCTCTCTCTCTCCCCCTCTCAAATAAATAAAATCTTTTAAAAAATGTTCGTGCATTTTGAGATCCTCTGAAAAGTGATCTGGTCATCTTTCCTTGTTCTCCTTGTATAAATCAGCATGCTGCTTTTCAAAAGCATTGATCAAATGAAGTTTCTGTGGATCATTTGATAGTTGAGGACAGAATTTAGGATTTTTAAATGGTTTCCCATCTTTAGGGATTTTTAAAAAGGGAAACAGGGATTATTTTTATTGTTGTTGTTTACATTTACTGCTGTTGTTGAAAAGTTAATTTGTTAGTTACCAATTTTAATATGCTTTAATGTATCCTCATAATAATAATGCTGTGAATTCATATGGTGCTTTTCTTTTTTTTTTTTAAGGATTTTATTTATTTATTTGATGGGGCGGGGGGAGAGAGAGAACAAGCACTGGGGAATGGCAGGCAGAGGGAGAGGCAGACTCCCTGCTGAGCAGGGAGCCCGACGTGGGGCTCGATCCCAGGACCCTGGGATCATGACCTGAGCCCAAGGCAGATGCTTCACCTACTGAGCCACCCAGGCACCCCTCACATGGTGCTTTTCATACATTTCATCATCTCTGACTTGAAGTGGTCATGTGAGGTTAGCAAGGCAGATTCTCATTGTCATTCCAACTTACATTTGAGGAAACTGAGGCTCAGATGGTTTATGACTCTCACGCTCAACCAATAGCAATCTAGTCCTTAAATCGAGGTCTACTCACTAAAATGAGCAGTTTCCATTTGTTATCATGTCCTATTTCAGAAAGGAATCTCGGCTTTGTTGATGACTATTTAGCATCCAGAGTGAAGGTGGTAGTAGATCTCCTGGGCTGAGCACTGGTCACAACAACGTGTCTGAAGTGTTGGTTGTGTTTGGGTGCTGCATTTTAAGGAGAACACTGGGAAACTAGAGGACATGAGGAGAGTTAAGAATCTAGAATGTGAGGAGCCTGGGAGCAGAAATAACCAAACAAATCAGGATTTTCAAGTATGGAGAAAGGAGGACACAGAGATGTAGTTGACAGCTCCAAATGTTTTATGGACTGCCTGGTGGAAGAGGAGTTAGACTTGTTCTTTGTGGTGTCAGGCAGCCAGAGCAGGATCACTGGAGAGAAATTGCACAGAAGCAGATTTGTGCTCAATATAAGAAGAAACCTGCTAAAATTTAGAGATGCCCCAAAATGGAATAGACCAGCTCACTGCCCCTGGAAAGTGTTCGCACTGAGACCGTCGGACTCGAAGACTAGATGACTTGATGGGCATTTGTGTTCTGGCAGTAACACCGTTTTATGATCAACCTTCTAAGGGCTCAGAGACTTTCCTCGTTAGCTGAAAACAGAGGGTTTTGTAGGCTTTTCTGTCCTGATTTTAGAAAGTTGTATACATAACAATTCCTGTTTCACACATCATTAGTTCCTGAGAAGTCTGTTCAGCTGATGGGGAAAGGCGTTATTAGTTAACACAAATAAGCAAAACTTTTGTAAGGTTAGGAACTGAAGCAGACGGTGTGATGTATACAGTGGTGTGTGTGTGTGTGTGTGTGTGTGTGTTGTGTATTTTAACTCTTTCAGGATGGAAGTGGGCCTGGGTTTTGCTGTGTTTGTCCGGCTTGTTACTTGCACTACTCTTTAGTCCGGCCCTGGAACACAAAGAAATGGGGGGAGGAGCTCATTTGATTTAGCTGGTTTTAATTTTCTTAATATAGAAAATGATGGGGCCTCAAAAGAGATCAGCTGAACTGCGTTTGTGACATAAGCGAGATTCACTAAGGGAAAAGGCTGACTAGGACCCAAAGTCACTGCTCCAGATCTAGCTCAGTCACTCACTGCTCTATCATTGTGCCTTAGGTTTTTATTTTTCTCTAATGTGGAAGTGTTCTAGGAATTTTCTTTCCAACCTTTAAATTTTATGATCCTAATTCTCTCAATTTTATGACTCTGCTTCTCTATATTTGCATAGGAAATTGAGAATGGTCTCAATTATAGCAAAAACAATTCAGTCATTCATTTGTTCTTTAAATGACTTATTCATTTATTCAGAAACATTCATTAAATGAAACGCTGTTTTGAAATATCAAAACTTTGCTTCAATATATGTGATTTTAAGAATGAAAGGAACACAGCAAGTCAGTCTCTTCCCGACTGAAAATGAATGTGAGGAGTTCCATATTTAGGGTGTTTTGAAAACAATGTAAATGAATTCTTCTGTAAAACTCTTGTTGCTGAGATTTGGAACAGTCACATATCCCACATCCTAATGGGATGCAATAAAAATTTATCATAATAAATGTTAGCACCAGCGTTATTAAAATTATTCCACCACTGATGACTCCAAGCAGGAAGTCTTTTCTGTATGAATAATCTCATCTTTTTCTTCTTCTTCCCACAGATTCCAGAGAGGGGACTACCACATTGACGTCTGTATCAATGACTACCTGGATGTTTTCTGCCCTCACTATGAGGACTCGGTCCCAGAAGACAAGACTGAGCGTTATGTCCTATACATGGTGAACTTTGATGGGTACAGTGCCTGCGACCATACTTCCAAAGGGTTCAAGAGATGGGAATGTAACCGGCCCCACTCTCCAAATGGACCGCTCAAGTTCTCTGAGAAATTCCAGCTCTTCACACCCTTTTCTCTGGGATTTGAATTCAGGCCCGGCCGGGAATATTTCTACATCTGTGAGTATACAGAGATTTATTGTGTTGTGGGGCAGCTGCAAGCGCCCAGACTAATTTTTTACCCATGTTTCAGAGAATTGCAGAGAGCTGGACTCTGCATTACAGATGTCTCCTTGTAAATGCATACATCAAGATCCCTAGATACATTAGCTGGGAATTGAGAGCACAAATTAAAGACACAGCTCCTCTCCCCCTATGAAATTGCGTGTCAGCCTGTTCAGTGAACCACTGCTGACTTGTATTTCTTTTAAATGAAAATTGCTAGGACTTCTCCAAAGCTGAGGAAAAGAAAAAGAGATTCCTGAAAAAAAAAAAAAAATTAAAGGAAATAATTAAATTTACATAGCTTGGAGTCATTGGATTTCTTATTCAGGTGTCAGCAATATCCTTTCAATCATCCACACTTGCAGTGGAGAAAGCCAAAACTGCAAATGTCAGCATGCTGACAATAAATACTCTCTTTGCATCAAGGAGAAGAGACAATTATTAAGAGCAGCTGTGTCTTTAAACAGGCAAGAGCATGAAGAAGTTTCTAGAAAGGGTTCCAAAGGAACCGGTATAAGTGAGTTTCCCACCTGTGACTCTGTTCCGACAGAGCTCTAAAACTTTCTCAGCTGACCTGCACATTAATCATATTGCTGTAGCCTTGTTTTCCATCCGTGACGTACACCATCACTGCTTCGGGCATCCTACTAGTCGTATAATCTAGGTAAATGCTTCTCAAACTTTACTGTTCATAAGTCACTTGGGGATCTCGTTATAATGCAGATCTGATTCAGGTGGTCTGCTGTGGGGCCTGAGGTTCCATGTTTATAAAGCGCCCATGTGACGGCTGATGCTGCTGGTCTATGGACCACTCTGAGTTAGGATGGTTACAGGTAACATTTAATCTAGGCTGCTTGCTGTATATCTGGACTTTTCCCTCGCTAGTATCAAATATTTAAACTATCTGGCCTTTTCCAAGTATTTTCACTATCAGCTGAAGGAGCTAAACATTTTTTGCTCAGAAGTACATTTTTTGAACGACTTTTCATGGCTCAGAAATGTTGGGGGGTGCAAGATCAAAAGACATTCCTGTCCTCAGGGAGTGACCATCTAGTGGGGAGGAGAGGCAAATAAATAGGTGGTTGCTGAAGGAAGGTAAATGCAGGGAGTACTGGGTTCAAGGGTATACGTACCTCAACTCCTTGAAAGAATCAGGAAGTGTGGCTGCACGCAGTGGGGAGAGATCCAAGCAATACCACCCAGTGTGCTTGGCATTGACTTTTAACCCCTCCTTGCCAGACAAGCAAGATAAAGAACATTCCTGTTTTTCTGATTTCGTTTCTTCACCCTGAATGTCCCCACAGACTCCTAACCCATTTTTTTTTTTAAGTCTACAAGGATATCTAGCTCCTCTTCTCCAGAAAACAGATTTTTATATTAAGCCAGATTTCACTATCACACGGGCACTCCCACTTATATTGAGATTGAATTTAAAAAAGGAAATTGAACAGTACCAGTTTTATTATCTCAGTACATATTTTAGTCATTAGTCATGAGAAAACACGTAAGAGTCTTGATACTATCTCACATTCAATCCATAAGATAAGAAAAGGAATATTGAGTCCCACGGATGGAGGAAACACTGACCTACATTGACTTCACATGTTCTCAGGCAGCAGGCTCCTGCCTTTTCCTGATTTTTTACTCTGTGAAAGAATCTCATTCAGCAAATGGGAAAAAGGAAAGAGGGAGACGTTAGTGGCGGGACGGCGATCATTAATTGCCTAATTCTAAAATATCCTACTGATGTAAGAGGAAATCATTGCCAATTTCACAATTTACATATTGATTTCTCAGATTAAAACACAACAAAAGCAAAAACCAAAACTGAATTGAGAGCACTGAGATAGGAAACATACCAGCTAAGTAGTTGATTGCATGATTATTAGAAATTATAGAATCCATTGAGGTTCATAAGCAAGATGTTATTATTCAAATATACCCATAGTGGTTATGACTGGTTTTTCCTCATTTGTGGTTAAATTCAATATTTCACTAAAAATCATTATGTGTCTTCTATAACATTCATTTAACAGAGTCATTTAACTGTCAAGGGCTCCTGTCAAAGTAATTGTTCCAAAATGCTTCAAAATATCAAGAGCTTTTTGCTGTTCAGCTGAGTTTAACCTGAATTACTTTTTTTAATGAAAGGTAAAATAGCACAAAATTAGCGGCAAAGAGATGTTCATTTATAAGAAGCACAGTGGCCTCATAGTCAGTTAAATTGAATTTTCAACCATGTTTTAGAACCACAAGAGCATCCTTCCCTGTCTTTAGCAGGGAAAGGGTTTTCTCTTTTCCTTTCACTGCTGAGAGCAAGAGTGGCAGAGCCAACGTGGATGTCTTACAGACGTTTAATATACTGTGGTCATAATTAAACTAAAGGATTCTTAGGGGAGAATTGGCCCTCAGTTGAATTTTCCTCTCTCCTAATATGCATGGAATGAACAAGATGATTGGGAAATGGCTCTTTTCATACTTATTACCTTACAAGAAGCTCTGTTGCCGATCTCGGGAACAAGCCTGACTAGTCGCCCATTGGTCAATTTTATAAAATGTTCTTAGACCATTTCAGATCCTCGAGGGCTTAAAATCTCTAACAAGTCTTCCAAGAGAAAAAAGAAAGCTGTAGCCCTTTGGTGGACCTGCTTTACGGTGCTAGAGGAAGGGTTGAGTATAGTGGTGAGAACCCAAATTCAAATACACACTTGGCCTTGGGGAAAGAGAGGAGGATTTCATAGCAGAAAATCCATTCATCACTTAGGGAGGACACAATTTAGAACGTTCTGATCAAGTTCTGCTTTATCCTCAGTAACATTGATTTCCTTCTTAATATGTGTTTGAGTTATACAAAATTAAGAAAACAGAGTAGTTGGAAATATGTGAAATTTCCCGTTTACTTTAGAAATAAAATGTCCTTCACTGTTCTAGATCCTTTATTTGTCCCCAAGACTGACTCTGTGCTATGTCCTCCTTTCCTTGGGAACGGGCAATATATTAAATTGTTACAGTCGCTGGTACTGCTAAGGCAGACCGAGCCCATTCTTGAATATGACAAATACTGTTTTTAATCTACAGAAGTTATTTTGGTAAGAGATTGGCATACTAAAGTAATTACAGAAAGTCAGTGGTATTTCTATTAGTGATAGATTTGCAGAACTGCCAGTCAATAGATTATGGCAATAGTCATTTATATAGACTTCCTAAGGCAAAGAGTTATTTTAGAAACTTCAGAAGTACTCATTTTAGAAATGATTCTCATAAATATTAACCTAATGAGAACAAGTTTGAAAGAAGTTTTGCTACTGTTATTTTTAAATCAGAAGAGGCGAAGGGAAATAAATAAGGCTCTTTCAGTTATTTTTATAAGTCAGTAAAACACTAATTTTGAAAATCCTCTTTTGTAAAAGAAGGAAAACTGCGGCCTGGGCCCTTCTCGTGGCCTCACTAACTGTATGATCTTGGGCAAATCATTTCATCTCTCTGGATTTCTACTTCCACAGCTGTAAAATGACGTAGTTGCAGTAGATGGTTTTTAACATTTCTTGGGAGCCTTAATATCCTAATCTTACTATATTTTATCTAAAGGTCTGCACACCAGGGTAAGAAATAACATCCATAAAGTGTCTCAGCCCAACGCTTTACTTAGAAGGTGGTCAGTAAATGCCAGTTAAAGGGCTATGTTGAGGGCGAATGCAGAGTGGAGAGGCATCTTAACATTATTGAACTCGGTCTACCCCTGCCGACCTATCCGAGTCCCCGTCATCCGTGGTCTTGACTAGTGCAGCAGGCTCCTATTTCCCCCACTCATGTCACTGCCCTGTCAGAGCCCTCCAGTGACTTCCTGTCTGAGTAAGACAAAATCCTGAGTCTAACCTGGCCAACAAGGTCCTCTGTGGCGGGACCCTTGCGTTCCCCACCCTTGCCTCTTGGACTTCTTGTCCTCTCCCTCTGCCGTTTTGTCTCCACTCCAGCCCCACCCCCCCCATCAGCCCTTCTTCCTGTTCCTCTTTCCTAGCTAGTGCCCACCCCCAAACTCCACAGGAGGGCCTTGGTGCTTTATCTTATCTCTGCCTGGGGTTCTCCTTGCTCCAGGCATCCACTTCCCTTGCTCTCACTTTCCTCATGTCAGCTCTAAAGAAACGTCTTTATCGGAGGGGCATTCTGATCTCCCTAGGTAAAGATAAAGTCTCTGTAATCCTCTACATTCTTACCCTGCTTTATTATCTCTCAAGCGCTCATCACCCTTGACACTGTGTATTTACCGTTGTTTGCTTATGCCCCGCCTGCTCTATGTCCTGTACTACATTGTTTGGCACATAGTAGATGTTCAGTAAGTGAAGGTCCCCAGTGTTTACATAGCACTCGATTCCAAGCACTGCTCTAAACCCCTACAATTCTCAAAGCAGCAGGAGGAGGAGGTTCTGTCCTGACGTCCCACTGTATAGGGGAAGAAACAGAGGCACAGTTAGGTAACTAGAGAAAAGTTCACACAGATTAAGAAGTGGCGGATCTGAGAGGAAATTAAGTGAGTAAACAACTAACAGGAATTGAAGAGATAAAGTCCTATGGCTCCTGTGCTTAAAAAGGAAAAACATACCTTATTTTGTATTTTTTTTTTTTTACCAGAAGGTTAAAAACAACGAGCACTACTGTTTAGAGAATATTACTTTATAAACTCTGCCAGAAACCCCAACTCAGATAGTAGCAAGATAGATTTTAAACACATGTATGCAATTTCAGCTCTCCAAAGAATACTCCTCCATCTCCAAGCGATATTTCAACTGTATCTTCCCAGATGGGTGACCCTTTTAATATGATAACCTTTCTGACCCAGAATTTGGGTCACAGAAATTCTTAAATCCAGTGAATATTCAGCCTCTAGACTGAATCATGATTGCACACTTGATTTAGGAATGAGAGACCTACAGTCAAGAAGACAAATGTCATTTTCT